ACGGCAGCAGATCGTACGAGTTTACACGGACTACAACTACCAGCAGAATCAGCCAGCGTTGCCAGCTCCTGGACTTGAACCGCCACAACCAGCGGGGGCACCGCCAGCACCAGCGGCGGCACCGCCAGCACCAGCGGCGGCAGCGCAGCACACGCAGACCATCACAGACGCGCTGGAGCAGCACACGCAGACCATCACCGACGCGATGGAGCAGATCATGGAGACGAAGACCGAACACATCGAGCGCATCGAGAGGAAGTTCGATGACGTCTTGGAGCGCCTGCAGGTCGTGGCCGACCGCTTAGCGCCCGTGTCCGACCGCCTCGCGGAAACGAACCAGCTGATCAGCGCGGCGCAGCCGCGCGGGGCCGTGCAGGCCGTGAGGGCCATGCAGGGGGCTGATGCCCCGCCGCGGGCGCACCAGTAGACGTACGGCGTATCGGATGATGCATCGCGCCATCCATCGGGCGACGATGGCGACGCCGACGCCGACGACGACGACGACGACGACGACGACGACGACGACGAGGACGACGACGACGACGACGGTGGCGGCGGCGGCGGCGACGACGACGACGGCGACGACGACGACGACGACGACGACACGGTTGCTTGCATCGATCGATGCATCCGCAGTGCTTGAATAATTGCTAGCGCCGCTCTTTTACGCGTCAGTGGCGTGCTGCAGCAGCGCCGCTGCGACGACGTGTCAGCTTGCATCGGCGCTCTTGGCCAACAGGCACGAATTCTCGGCCGACACGATTGGCTGAAACATGTATCCCCTCTTCTGGCGCCCCAGGATATGTGTGTAGTTGGTGCATATACATGGCCGTATACGGCATGCCAGGATCACATGGTGGTATGAGTCTCAGGGTCTTAGGGGTTCCAGTTCTGAAACCCGTGTGGGTCGCATTGTGCAAGGTACTTGGCGGGCTGTTAAGACGAATGTGGTCGGCGCTAAAGCGAGAGTCGCATTCGCATAATGCTTACACTCATGCTAATTTAAAGCGGTGGAGCCCTGATGCACTGAAGCTTATGAAACAACCCCATACCCTTACCATATGGGCAATCTTGGAACCATAATGGAGACGCATTAGGAACCCGCGTGACTCGTTCCTCTTCTTTTCCCTGATCCTTTCCCCGCCTTTCCCCCTTCCCTCTCCTCTCTCTCCTTCTTCCTGCGTCCTCCGCCACCCGACTTCTTCTTGCCCCTCACCTCGCTCTCTTTCCCGCGCGTCCTACCTCATCGCCGTTGCCCTCCCTCCCACTGCCCCTCGCCCGCGCCCGCGCCCGCTCCCTCGTCCGCCCGCTCCTGCCGCGCGCCCGCGTTTGCGTTTGCGCAACCCCCGCGCGCCAGAATCACCCGACGCTTGCGGGCGTTAGCCTGCAAACGCCCGCAAACGCCAGCAAACACCTGCAAACACCTGCAAACACCTGCAAACGCCTAAAACGAAGCAAATTGTAAGCAACTTGCAAGCAAAAAGTAAGCAAATTGAAGCACAATGTGCTTCAACGGGGTCAATTTGCTTCAATTAGCTTCAATTAGCTTCAATTTGCTTCAATTTGCTTCATTGGTTTAGCTTGTTGCATGCGTCGCGTTGCTGGTTACCCGCGTTTTTTAAGCTCAATGACCTTACAGTTTGCTTCAACGACCTTACTTTTTGCTTCAACGACCTTACTTTGTGCTTCAACGACCTTGACGTTTTGCTTCAACGACCTTGACGTTTTGCTTCCACACTCGTGTTTTTTAAGCAAAATGTAAGGTCGTTGAAGCAAAATGTAAGGTCGTTGAAGCAAAATGTAAGCAAAATGTAAGCAAAATGTAAGCTAAGTGGCGCGATCGCCAACGACGTTTTGCTTCCGCACCCGCATTTTTTAAGCAAAATGACGCGACCACGACTCGCGTTGACTCATGCGCGTCGTGTTTTTTAAGCAAATTGTCAAGCGCGCGAGTTAAGCATCTCCCACACCCCCCACCTACCCACCCCCACGCACCCCTTGCGCCCATGCCCACTGCCCACTGCCCGCGCGTGCCCTAAGTACCCCCCCCCCCCCCTCCGTCTCCCATCTACCCGCCCTCCCCTTCCCCCATCGCCCGCCCGCTACCCGCCCGCCTGCCGCCCCGCTTGCTCCCCCCCCCCCCCACCGCGCACGCCCAGCGCCCGTTCCACCTCATGGCGCGTTTTTTTTTGTCCTTGCGCACCCTGGCCGCACGTGTCCTCCTAGGTGCACCTCCTCTTCTCTTGCCCTGCCCCCCTCCTGATTACCGCCATCTCTTGCCACCTTCGCCCGTGCCCATCTTTTCCACAGTTCCGCCCTTTTGAAATGTAAGAACACGTCTAACTAGTGGTGGGCCTTCCTGGTGGGCCATTGGGCCACTTGGAGCCGACTCGGGTTGACCTCGGGGCCCCCGAAGCATTTTGAAAGCCATATTGGGCAATCTTGCGTTATATTATTGGGGCATATTGGATGTGGCATTGCAGTGCATGAAGCACTCTTGGAGCAATATTGGGCAATCTTGGGCGCTCCGACGCGTCGCGGACCACCTCGTCTAGGTTCACGGTGGGTGGTCGGAGGGGAAAGACTAAACCTTTCCCGCAGGGGAGAATGAGGCTTAGGGGAGAAAGCGACATTGACCGCCTGCCCCTGAATTGCTGGTGAAACAGATTGGCCCTGGCACTGGCGCATGGCCTTTCAGTGCATTCCCGCCAGCCAGCCCCCCCTCCCCATTCCATGCCACTCAGCCTGGTGCCTATTTGGCTCAGCATGGCAGTTCTGGCGGCCCTGCCAACGCATTTGGAGCCATTTGAACGCGAATTTCTCCAACTCCGAGCGGAAAGATTTGAAGATGGTTTTAAGTTTGTGCTGACCCTTCTTGCGCGGCGAGTGGACGATCAGCGGACGAAGCTGACCAGGTCCGCTTTGGAGGATATTGTTGATGTGCTCAGAGACAGGGTGCCGTTTCCACTTCGGAACGCTTCGCGTGCTTTCGCCAACTCATCCAGGGCCCATATCCGCGTTGTTTGTAGTTGGTTTGGGCGCGCGGTCACGCATTGTTCTGGGTGCGTAGCTGAGGCAGCCCTAGGCAATGTAATTTCCCCAGGGGCGTGGGTTGGTGAAGAATATGGGGAAGGGGGGGGACAACCTCGTTGCATAATTTGGGTGGTGAGGCGGTTGCTTAAAGAAACAACGCTGCACGCCACTTCGGGCCAAAAGGCTCGTGGGATTCGACCGCGGCTGCCAGTAGATGTGAACCGCACGTTTGAGATTGATAGTGGGCTTGTTGAACGCTGCGCACCCGACGCGTTTTCTTATTCTTGGCGATGGTGGAACATGGACGTTGAGTGGATTCAGTCTGAGAGCTCGCGCCATCATACGTTCCCACTGCCGATTGCTAAACTAGGCGCGGGCTTGGCCAACCAATGCGAATATGAACACGTCATCTCTATCACGGCTTTGTGGTAAATAGACAGTGGCTCTGTCGAGACAGATTCCGACCCCCCCTTCCCCCCCTTCCCCCCTGCGCTTGTTCATTTGGTCGCGCATCCACGTTTCACCGAGTAGTAGCTATAGCCCAAACGCGCCGACGTGATTTAACAAAATAATGCGCGCGTCGGGGGGCGAAACGGGAGTGCGCGCTGGTCAAACCCAACTGTCCCAGCCAGCCCAACCAGCCAGCCCAGCCAACCCAACCAGCATAGCCACCTATCTAGCCAAACTTGCCCACAAACGCAACACCGCCGCCCAGCCAGCCTGCAAACCTGCGCTCACTTCGTAAGGAATGAGTGGCGGTCTGCCTGACACGGGGTCGCTAGCGCTCATGGTTAACAACAATAACGTACATATGTGGCAGTTTCTAGAAGGCTTGGGGGTTCCACCATCTCACTTGCACAAGCCTTTGAGAAGCTTAGTGCAATCTGGCTCTGCCGCTGAACCAATCACGGGCACATGCAGCAATGGCCGTCGCCCGCTCTTCAGGATGGTTATGTGCTCGGTGCTGTATTTCCTAGGCCTTCTGTCGTGGATCCTGCAGTGGAAGTCGAGAGTCCTCTCTCTAGTTAGGGCGTCTTTTCTTATTCTGCAGCAGCTAGACAACGTGCTTCCTGGGGCGTTTACAATATACTTAGGCGACGTCATCTGGCTGCCAGTGCACGGGCGCCACATGGATTCAGGGTCTGTTCTGGTTGTGCTTGCGTATGTGGGGCGTGCTGCATCGTGGCATGATCTTGGAATTGAGTTGCCCCGCCTGGACGCAGTTCGGCACGTTCCGTTCCATTGCGTGCTGTTTGCAGTGATGCGCGCCAGTAACAGCGGAGTTGCTGCCATGAGGGTGTGCAAAACTTGGATTTCAGCAATTGCTAAGATGGTTGATGCAAGTAGTTGGGGTGGTACCTTATCCTCTGAGTTGCCTGCTATCCGCCTTCCCCGTGATTGCGATTCAGCATTCAACGTTCAAGCTGCCGCGCGGGGGGACGATAAGTTCTTGGTGACGGTGAATCGTTTTCTA